AGATAAAGGGCAATAGATACAGTAGATAAATGTTGATTTATACACATCCAAGCACAGAGGTACATCCACAGATGGATTTCACGTGTGCGGGAAGGGGCAGGCGTGTCTAACCCCACAGTGACATTCATACAGGAGCACATCAAGACAGATGCTCTGTGTGTGTGTGTGTGCACATCACAAACACCATCCCTCTCAACTCCATCTCCCTCGGGGTGTCAGCAGAACCCCTGCACTCACTGGGGCTCCCTGATTCACACACAGCCAGAGAAAACCCACCTTCTATTTCACACACGTGCTGCCCCACACAAACGTCTTTATGCCCTTGGATTTACATTCTGAGTGTGAGCAGCCCCATTCACAAGTTACCCAGTATTGCCCTAAGGCCCACAGCCCAAATTAAAACCCTTTTTGCTGCTCTAAACTCCAGGTGAGACACCTGATGTCATCAGCATCAGGTGTCCCACCAGGGTTGGGTGAAATCCTGCTTTTTCAGTCACAGAATCCCAGAATGGTTTGTGTTGGAAGGGACTGTTAAGGGCTGTTGAAAGCCCAGAGCTGTTTATGCTGATGCATCTCCCTGGCCTGAATAAACCATAGTGATGTTTAACAGCCTTTCCATGAGGAATCACACAAATTGACTTGTTGGTACAGAAACAGGCGATTGCTCAGCTGGAATAAGCTGCCCACTGAAAGCTCCTGGGATTAGTCGGAGCACAGGATCCAAACTGTCCACTGATAAATGATCAGCTCTTTCCTCCTTCCAAGCTGCCCATTGCCCTGCCAGCAGCCAGAGATATTCATGGAGAGAGGAGAAATATGACAAACACCACCCTAAAGCTTTCCAAAATGTCCCCCCATGGACTGGGTAGAGTCACATCCCTGTTCCCAACAAGCCAAGGGACAACGGTCCCCAAAGCTGTGCCAGGGCCTGGCGGTTCCCACACCCTCCTCACATCACCCCCAGCTCCCCAGCAAGGCACCTCTTGCATTTATTCACCCAGAATGTGATAGGATGACACCTTCTTGGAGGGTATTCCCAGCTGTAGTCAATCCATTTTTATAAAGCACTCGTGGACTCTTCCCACAAGTGCAAAAGTCTTGATGCCAAATAAAACCAACCTCATTCCTGTCCAACGAACATGTGGAATTTCCCAGTCTTTCCCTTTCCTAGTGTTACTGTCCTTATCACAAAAGGCCTTGATAAATGTCTTTTCCTACTGACTTTTTGTGTGGTTTTATTTCTTTTACCAGCACCATCGCATTTTTACTCATCTTTCAGAGCACATCATGTGGTTGGGAATCTGTCCATTCCTTGGGATTTTTTGCATTACTTAGTTCCTTGTCTTTGTTTGGGGAGAGGAGTGGGAAAGAAAGGAAGAAAATTGACAGGGGTGAGGAATGATGCTCTGCCAACTCCACGAGACACAAGAGATACCTCACTCATCTCGGGGGTCAAATGTCTGCGATGGTTTGATCAGATGTCAAGTTGCATTTATACTCTGGCCTCTGTTGGGGTTGAATTACATTTCACATTTGACTCACTTCTGGGGTCAAATGTCCCTCCTATTTGCTAGAACAAGAGGAATTATTTTCCCCAAGCAGGTTGTTCTGGTGTGAGCCCGGATCAGTCAGCGCTCTCATTATGTTTTTGGCTCCTTTATTTCTGCATTTCATCCTCAGCTGAGACCAACCCCTTTGGGATGACAAGAACTGCAGCCATAACACAGAAGCCACCCCAACGACGAGGATGAGGGGAAGGAGCAAGTCACCTGCTTTCACGTGTTTTGGATGGTGCTTTGTTTGGGTTTTATGAGGGGTTTGGGGTGTTTTGTTTTTAATTCTTCCCCCCACGTCAGCAGCTGTGCAAGGCAGGGGATAATGAACAAGAGGCAAGTGAACCCTGATCCCAGCTTCTTGCCATGAGAAACTGGAGAAACCTGGAAAGCTTTGGGTTGGAAGGAACCTTAAAGCTCATCCCATTCCACCCCCTGCCATGGGCAGGGACATCTTCCACTAGCCCAGGTTGCTCCAAGCCCCGTCCAATCTGGCCTTGGACACTTCCAGGGATCCAGGGGCAGCCACAGCTTCTCTGGGCAACCTGTGCCAGGGCCTCACCACCCTCACAGGGAAGGATTCCTACCCAATATCCCATCCAACCCTCTCCTCTGTCAGTGGGAAGCCATTTCCCCTTTGTCCTGACACCCCAGGCCCTTGTCCTGAGTCCCTCTCCAGTTCTCTTGGAGCCCCTTTAGGCACTGGAAGGGGTTCTAAGGTCTCTCTGGAGTCTTCTCTCCTCCAGGCTGAACAGAACATCCTCAAGATCAAAAACCAGACAAGGGGCTGAGGTAGGGCTGCTGCCAGGGGGCTGCAGGATCTTAACTGGGGAAAAGAACCCAACCCACCAGGCCCATCTATTCCAGTGTGATGGTTCCAGTACTGAGTCTGTATGATTTGCCTTTGTCCCCACAGATCCCAAGGTTCTGAGCAACATCCCATGTGTGCTGTGCAGGGCTGGTGGTTTAGCAGCCTCTGAAGAGGGATTGTGAAATCCCACTCCTGCTGTTTAATGTACTCCTTCGGGTCACAACAGGTTTAGCAAACAATAAAAATTCATCTGGAACCCCCATTTAAATAACAGAGTTGTGTTATTAATACTAAAGGCATGGGGGGGCTATAAAGTGCTCTCTGGTAAACAGGCCCTGATGTGCAGGTAAATGAGGGGAGAGGATGAGCTAGTGAAGGTGAGGAGGAAGGCTGCTCCCCATCCTCCTGGGCCAAAGCTCATGCTGGGTGTGAACCACCATTAACACCCCTCAGGGCATGAACTGGGATCCTCACCTTCCCTCTCACTACCCTCCTGCAACCCCAGAGAAGGTTATGGGGGCTCACTGCAGCATCCCAGAGGGGCACCCATCCCAACAGAGCCCCAGGTGCCACCCTCTGCCCTTGCACCCCTTGGTCCCACTCCCAGCTCCTCTCTGACTGTCCCAAGAAAACCAGCACAGGGAGGAGAACTGGAGATGCAAGGCAAGGCAAACTTCCCCATCTATTTTCCAAGTCACTTCCTATGGTGCTTTTGCTGATGGAGAAAGCAGCAATACATCCTCCATGCACACAACCATCCCTGTAACAGGAGGTACCTGCTCCTCCTCTGCCAAGAGAAAAATACTTCTTCCCTTCTCATCCTTAGTTGCTACTCCAAAGTAAACAGAGAACAAATAAGAATAAACTCTCATTTCCCAGGTTACAGGGATCTAAGCTGGTTTGGTTGATCCTTCTCCAGGATCAAACCCAGTACATGAATCCTCCACCACATGACAACCTTTGCTTTTCTTTGGAAGCCAACTCTCCTCCTCAACTGTGCTACAGCAAACTATTCCAAACCCTGCAGCATCACTCCTGACTCCCCTCCTGTGCCCACCCATGGGGGAAGCGGGATGTGACAGGGGCCAAGAAGGAAACACAAATGGTTCATGCTGGCCGTGGTTCTGCCCAAGAGCAGTCTGATCCTGCAGGGACATCATGGCCAGGGACTGTGGCTGGTCACTGACGACCCTTCCTGATGAGGCTGTGGAATAGTTGTCCCTTGGGGCTTTTTAAAAGCAGAGTGTCTAAGACAACTGCCCCACGAGCATCCACCACTCTGCTCAGCCTGGGGAGGGGGACAGGGCTGACCCCTGGTTGGGGCAGCTTGGGCTCACCCTGTTCCTTTCTGTATTTACTCAACCTCTGGCAATTCCTGGCTCTAATGATCAACCACACGCCGTTGTTGATTGACTACATATTTGTTTCTGCTGAATCACTCAACAGCACAAAGTTTGCTGTTCCTTCCCCACCCTGGAAATGCTTCTCATGCAAGAACAACCTCTCCCCACTCTGCAGCAGCAGGGGCTTCGAGTGCCTGCTTCCAAAGCCAGAGCAGGAACAACTCTCCCAAGAAATGAGCCAACATGCTGCCACACTCTAAGGAGATTAACTGCAGGTTTTCATCCTGTTTCCAGTGTAATATCCATAGTTTAATCCCCACTGTTACTGGAGTTAGATTCACCATGGATGACTTGCCTGGTAACCCACAGCACTGCCATAGCAAACCTCAGGGACACAGAGCGGTGTGTCTGTGGTCAACAGGCCCCCACAACAAAATGGCCCAACACAACCCAAAAATGGGATGGTGAAATGTATTAGCAATGAACTTTCACCTTCCCTCACAAGGATGGATGGGATGAGATGCTTCCAGCACCTTGAATGTGCCCTGAGTACCCAGCACGCTCTACCCATGCCAGAGGGATGCACGTGGGACCAGGTCTCATCTCCTGGTCAGGGGGACAGGTAGGCATGTCCTGAAGTCCTCCCCTCCCAGCAGGACCTAAGCATGGGCTTAACTTTATAGAATCACAGAATGGTTTGGGTTGGAAGGGACCATCAAGATCACCTTGTTCTAACCTGTATATGTGTTTAGGGCTTCAGTGAATGGACATGTCTGTTCCATGTGCACCCAAGCCCAGAGAAGGCTCAGGCACTCACAAGACACCTTCTATTCTGGTCCTCCACGTGTGGGTTTATAGCTCCAAAACAGGAAACCTTTGATTCCTTTTTCTCCCCTAACTGTTAATCTATTTAGCTACAGGAAATACTCTACATGAGGGAAGGAGACACCTGAGCTACACACAATACTTGGAAACTTCACCGTGTCCAGAAACACCAACTGCATCTTCATTTGGAGTGAAGGATGGTGAGGCAAAGCTTTTCAGCCTCTCTGGTGGCAGAGCTGTGGCTAAGCCAGGCTCTGGTGACTCACAGCAGCACTGGCACACAAGTGCATCCCACTCCCTGTACCAACAGCATCCAGTGCTGCTCCTTGGCAGCTGACCTTTCCCATGGACACTCCTGATGCCCCAGGGCAGCAGATTCACAGACAGCTCCTGGAATTTGTGCTTGGGCATAGCCTAACTCCTCTAAAAAATCTCACCACTCTCCCACCCCAGCAAACCAACACTTACCTGATTGGCAGATAGAAACTCCTGGGCGTTGTCATTCATTCCCATGTACATGTTCTCTCCATCAAACTAGAGAGGCAAAAGAAAGTTAAGAGTCAGTGAAATGCCATCTGCACACCACAGTCATGTGCATCCCAAATGCCTTCCTGGCTCTTCATATCAAGAGCCAAAATTCCCAGAGGAAAATCCTGAGCTGCTCCTTTAAAACTTTGGAGCATGTATGAGCACACTTACATCCTGGTCATTGCAATGGGACGTGGTAACACAGCACAGTTATGGTATTTTTTTAGTGAAATAAGGAATGAATCACTCAAGTTCAAACAAATAAGCCAAATGTGTGCAAACCCACAGATGTGCCCTGCAGCAAAGATCACCCAAAAAAAGCTCCTGCTAAAATTCCTACTAGACCATTAATCAGCTGTAAAAAGCCAGCTTCCATTAATGGAAATTTCCAAGACAGGCAGGTCCCATCCAGTGCTCTCCCAGAGCTCTGTGTACCCCTTAACACCAAAGCAAAGCTCCTGCCGCAACGTGGAATCGCTCTGGAGTGTACGGGGGGGGGGTCTGTATGCAAAGCCTGATCTCCCACCTTCATTTTGATGCTGTTTGCACACTCTGGCTGCCAGAGCACATTCCCCCCACCTCCTGCTCCCCTGCCTGCTCTGCCAGGACTGTGCCTCCACGGCCAGGCAGGAGGCCAAGCAGTCCAAGCACTGCACATCCACCCGTGTCCCTGTGGCTCCGGAAAACACTCGGCTGCTAATCCACTTACTGGGCTACAAAACCCCCGTGGAGAACGACAACTCTCCTCTTTAATTAGCTACAACTGGAGCTTTTCACTCGCTCCGATTCCAAAGGAAGGAAAAAAGCCCTCCAGGATTGTCTCCGGCTCAAAGTATGGCTGGGGCCAGTCCTCAAGGCTAAGTTCACAAATTAATTATGGCAATAAAACAGACTGTGCCATAAAACACTCCCAAGACGAGGATGGAGGTACCAGCTGTGAGTGACACCTTGTACTTAACAAGGGTAAGAACCAGCCCTCTTGCCCTTATGAGCAGGATGATGAATTGAAGGTTGTTCACCCTTGTGTGTCCTCTCACTCTCTGATATGAAGCTGATACCAGTTATGCCTTAACAGAAATTGGCTGTATTAAGAGCAATAAAAGTGAAATCTAAATAAAACCAGGTGAAGATTTTCAGCCTAGACAATTAATTACACTTCCATTTCTCGGAGTGCTACAGGATTAGCTATTAAAGTCAGAAGAGTTAGTAAAGCCAAGTGGGGGTAACACTGCTCTGCTCGGCCTCAGACACCCTCTAATTGCCAAACTATCCTTTGGGATAGCAGAGCAAACCAATTAAAAGCTGCAAAATTGGAGCAGGTATTGTGACACTCATTAACTAATGCCAGCAGCAGCTGCAGCAGGGTGGAAGGGGATCCCTGTGCAAATGCTGGATTCTGTTAAATCTGTCGGGAGCTGTGGTATGCAGCGACCACCAGCAGCACTATGGGCTCACTGGGACAAGCAGCTCTCCCAGAAGGCAGCCAGGTGCCACTCACTTTAAACTGAACATCCCTCCACCTGTTAAATGATCACTGGCACAGCCAGCTCCTGCCAGTGCAGTTCCAGCTGGAGCTGCTGTGCTTCCAGGCACGGAGGCTCAACCAGCTGTACAGCCTACAACCAGCTCTGTACCCCCTGACAACCCCACCAACCCCAGCAGACACGGCTGAACTGGAAGAAGAGGTGGCACAGGTCAGTGGAGAGAGAATCACAGAACCATTTAGGTTGGGAAAGCCCTCTAAGACCATCAAGTCCAACTATCAACCCAGCACTGCCAAGGCCACCACTAAGCCGTGTCCCCAAGTGCCACATCTGCACAGCTTTTAAACCCCTCCAGGGATGGGGACACCATCACTGCCCTGAGCAGCCTGACCACCCTTCCAGGGAAGAAACTTTGCCTAATGCCCAACCCAAACCTCCTCTGGCACAACCTGGATAACTCTCCTCTTTTCCTGTCACTTGTTTCTTGGGAGAAGAGACCGACCCCCACCTGGCTACCACCTATTTCACCAGAAAATAGAAGTCACCTGGAAAGTTACATTCAGCAAACAAAAAATCTCCTTCACAGGGCAGGTCCAGGGCAGGGCAAACACCCTCTTTCTCCATATCCTTCTGTTTGTCAGAAGGTATTTTTTTTTATGGCTTTCTACTATTCCCCTACCTTCACTCCACACTTCCTTCTGCCCTTGCTGCCTTCGTAACAATTGTAATGAATCCTGCCTTCAGAATTACTGTTCCTCTGATTGCCAGGCTGAGCAGCGAGCCTGAAAATCAAGACTCAAAATGCAGTGGAAACTTTGGAACTTCCCCACTGCTGATTGGATTTTTTTTCCCTCTCCTCCAGGCTATGAGGGTGCAAACAAATTTATTAGAAATTCTCCCATCAGGATATTTTTTCAATTAGATGTTTGCCTGTTATACACCATCCAGGTAGAGAAGATAAGTAATGTGCTCTCCCTCTTCTCATTATTGTTTTGCTACAGAATGCACTTCAAAACAATCAAACCCATCATTCCAGGTGGATTTATGGTAGAAACAGACATTTTAATATTCCCCTTTGGTTATAAACACTTCCTTCCCTTTCTCCTTTGCTTTCAGACCCGGTGCAGCCATTCACCACCCTCTGTACCCCAAAACTGATCCAACCTGCACTGGACAATGTGCACATGTGAGGTGGTAGGTATCATTTTCAAGCCCTAATTTGAAAGGAAAATACTCTTGTGCAGTTGTCTTAATCATCCTTTTGCTCTGTTGTAATTACTCAATTTTATTATTCTTTGGCTAATAGGAGCAGCCTATTAAACAAATCAGTGGCTGTGGCTGATTCTCACCCTCTCCTGCATGAAATGAGCACAAATCTGAGGAGGGAGGGAAAAAGGGAAGGGAAAGGGGGAAAGAGGAAAGGGGAAAGGGGGAGGGGAAGAGGAAAGGGGGAAAGGAAGGGGAAATGGGGAAGGGGAAAGAGGGAAAGGGGAAGGGGAAAAGGAAGAGAAAGAGGAAGGAAAGGGAGAAGGGGAAAAGGGAAAAGGGAAAGGAGAAAGGGAAACAGGAAGGGCAAAGGGAAGAGGAAAAAGGGAAGGAGAAGGGCAAGAGGGGAAGGGGAAAGGGAAAAGGGATTCCCCTCTTCCAGAGCAGCTGTATCTGGCATTGCAGAGTTCAGCCCCTACAGGGAGCTCAATTCAGATGTTGTTGTACAAAGCACTTTTTTAATTTTGATTGCTTTTCTAGACTCACTTCGGTTTGTTATTTTTGCCCTACAACATTATTTTCAAACCTGTAAATGTGCCAGAGGTCACATGGGTCCCATGTTTAGCAAGATGAAAATGAGTAAGGAAAATAAATGCAGGCAGCAAGTTGGGACAGACCCCAAAGCAGCTGTGGGATCTCTGGCTCTGAGCAAACACAGAGAACAAATGTTTGCTAACTGGGAAGGACCCAGTGGAAAGAAATACAACCTCCTGCCAAGATTCCAGGAAGGTGTTACTTTTTCATGGATGGCACTGCCAGCTTGTACAATTTATTACGAATCTCATCACATCCTTTTATTTCCTGAGAGCCATGAGCTGAGAAGAAAACCTCAACTCTGTAAGAAATATGTTGGCAGGACTCATGCCAGAATGGCTTCTGTACCTGCAAGATCTCAGAAACCTTCCAAACTTTTTATATGATACAATTTTAATTTATGTGTGGTGGGTTTGGGGTTTTGTGGTTTTTTCTTTGGTTGTTTCTTTTTTTTTTTTTTTTTTTGGGGGGCTTTCCTAAATTTTGACATTCATTGTTGGCAATACTAAAGCAGAGCAGTTTAGTCCACTGAGAATCTGGAGCTGGAAAAAGTGGCCTGTTAATACAAATCCAGCAGTAATTAAAAGTCATCATCTTCAAGGAGATACTAAATGACCAGTTAAGAACAAACTGGATGCTTCCAATGATTCCTACTGCTCAGAGCTATAAGCACTTGCCTTCCAGTTTTATCTCCTTGTGCCAGAACACAGAAGGTTTCATGAAAAGAGAAAAATCATCTTGGGTACCTTCCCTGGAGGAGTCTGGGGCTGCCACCTGGGAATCTCAGCTCCTAAGAGGAGATGGGAAAACACTTCAGGAAATGCCTGGGAGAGCAGAAATTTGCCTCCAAAAGAGAAAAAAACATCTTGGACCAGAACATGGGAGATGGGCAGCAGGTTCCCTCTCATGACCACCTCATTTCCAAACTGGGTGCACTGGGAATACCACCTTTCACCAGAGATGCTTGGAATGTAGCAGCTGGTTTTTGTGTCCAGTGAGCTACACCTCAACCACCACTACTAACAAGGCACAGAGGGACCCACAATAATGCCATGGAAGAAATGCCTTCAGGTTTTTAGTGAGAAAAGAGTTAGGATACAAGGAAACTTGTATAACACAGCCAACGCCATATTTAATACTCCTGATTTTAAAATAATAATAATACTATAATTGCAGCCCATGTGTTGCTGGGCTTCATTCAGCTGCCTCTGATGGCACCCTGCCCAGCACTGGGAAACATAACTCTTCTTTAGAAAGCGTTATAGAAGTAGTTTTGTCCACAGTTCATTTTTATCAGCATTATTTGAGTGGCAGAACCACATTCTGCTCTAAAGGGCAGTCTGGCCACGGTACTTCCAGCCCTGCACAAAAGCTCCAGCTCCAAACCCAGGGATCCTGGCTCTGGCAAGGATCCTCTCTACCAGTGCAATCTCTGCCTAATCCCTGGGATGGGGAATGCTCCCTCCAGCCCTGCCCCTGGCAGCACTGCCGGAGCTGTGATTCCCTGCAGGAGTAATTCAGCCTCACGCCTCTTCAGGGAATACATGGCTGGGGTTGGCTTAATCTCTTTAACCGCAGTTTCCCCATTAAGGTCTTTACACAACCTCTGGCCCGAAGTGATCTACTTAGCATTATTTATTTGTCTGCTGAAATGCTCGGATGGCCCCTCGGTTGATCCTGTCAAGAAGGGTCAGGAGTTCAGCGCGAGATTTACGGCTCCCC